ATATGCTTTGCAGGTGGGATTTGTACTTGCCTTTTTCGGAGAAGATCTTTAGAAGTGAATGGAATCATCACATTGTCATTTGTTAACCCCCGGCATTTGCAGGTCCTATGCAACCCATTTGATGGGTGACGCACGACGGGCGATGCACGACGGGCGACGCACGACAGGCGATGCACGACGGACGACGGGCGACGCACAACGGAAAATGGCATGTTTGGAACTGGTAATTGACAGAATTGGGACACAATAAAAAGCAAAATGCGACGGACGACGGGCGACGGCAGATATGGAATTCCATAACCAGACAGATAGTGCTATGGATTACTAATCTTGTAGTCCAACTTTACAGTCGTATGAGTTGCGTGTCTCTGTCAAAAGGCAGGCCTATAGGCCTAGTCACTTGCTTATTACACATGTATTCGATGTTTGGCAGGTAGTATCACCATGGATGAAAATGTCTTGACACCAAAGGTATAAACCAGTTTGTGAATCTCTTTCAGTACCGGTACCTGATTTAACAACAAAGCTGACTGTGATACAGATTCCCCTCTCCGGCAACCACAGTATACGAACAAACGGTTTATAGACATGCCCGTTTTCTTGTTCCAATGTTTGTCCCTTTCAATTTAGGTGAACAGTGAGCTTAAAAGCTGGGATTTTTACCTATACCCTATATAGATTATTGCCCATTGCCACACAAAAAACATTATTAGCCGTTAATCATGTTTTTTAATGATTTTTCTTTGAAAAAAGGAGTGAAACTATGAACACTCAGCGAAACATTCAACACCGTTGAAAGCAAGGACTCACCAACATCACACGTGTCTCGCGGTGGTACCCGTGCCGAACGATGCGTTGTAGAGGTAAATCGTTATAAGCGTAGCTTCAGTCAACTCTGCTGTGGGGAAAATGCCGCCTCAGCACTTCTTTGCGTAATCATCATTATTCTCTCTCTCTCTCTTCTCTCTCTCTCTCTCACCGTTCTGACACTGCCGGACGTTTAGTGATGGCGTAGCAAATGGAGTCCCGAGGGAGGGGTAGGCACATTTCAGTCCGGCGTCTCTAAGGAAATCTTAGACGTGCCGAACTGCGGCGATTAGTTGACCGTCAACCTCTGAAGTCAAAAGCTCTGCACGCTGAGTTTGCCATTAACAATGTGTTGACACTGTAGCGTTAATTTTTTGCCACAACAAAGTGCACCGGAAATTGCAAAATATTATTATCATGATTTTGAAGTGATAAATAAAACCTGTGGATCTGAGATAGGGTCAACATTTTATCAGTATACAAAACAATTCAAGCCATCGTCACATCTGGTAATTCTTTTTTGTTGTTCATTATTTTGTATTCCTTTATCAGTTCCGTACTGACATGTTCGACAAAAGTTCCTAATAGCAAAGTAGTTTTGTCACACAATTATAAGCTATTTATTTCTTTTTTCGCCCAGGCTACAACTTATCGATCCCAACATCTCGATTCCAAAGATCGATTTCCGGTCTTGATTTCCCCTCCCCCGGGTTACATCTTATCAATCCCGACATCTCGACTCCAAAGATCGATTTCTGCAGAACTAATGGGGGGGGGAGGGACCCAATGTTGAATAGCTAGGGTTGTAGAGCTAAGCAAAGATCGATTTCCGGTCTTGATTTCTCCCCCCCCCGGGTTACATCTTATCAATCCCGACATCTTGACTCCAAAGATCGATTTCTGGTCTTGATTACCTCCCCCCTCTCTGCGTTACAAAATATCGATCCCAACATCTCAATTCCAAAGATCGATTTCCGGTATTGATTTGATTCATCAGTAAAATGATAATGTTCGATTTAAACTGGATAATAGGCCAACATACTCAGACTGAAACCTTCAAAAATACGGAAATATACTTAGCGATAAAGTCAAATTGTTATAAGTGACACAATTTTGTACAATGCAAAGTAAACAAGAACTAATTCAAGCAGTTGTATCAATTTTGTTCTGTATTTTTGTATTTTGACATCTTATAATACAACTAGAATAAAAGTGAATTTCAAACTGAGTTTCAAAGTTAAACTTCGAATCCATTCCTGCAAATTGTTGTATATTTATAATTTTACAAATAAAGACACATTTGATATTCACTGTAGAAATATTTTATGTCTGTGACGGACGCCTCTGTCATAATGCAAGTTGACAATGGAACTGTGATTTTAATATACATGTAATTATTCGATAGAATTTTTCACGGTCCTGGCTCTAGGGGTTGGAGTAAAGACTGGATAAAGTGAACGTGTTATTTCCACAATGATTTCTTGGGTTTTTTTTGTGTGAAGATTTTCTGTTTTTAGTGTAAAAGGACCCAGTGATGTTTTGTTCTATTAACTTTGTTCTAAATGTATTTCAAAAAGAAACAAAACAAACATCCGTATATACATAAATATATCAAAATACAATGTTTTTGTTTATTTCAGTGACATTAATTGCATTGAAGGCAGAGCAGTGTCAGACCAGTTGCGTTAGACATGCGAAATGTAAAAGGTGTCTCTTATTAAATTTGGTGTGTTGTCTTCTAGAGCAAGCTCTCTGTCACTTGGATCTAGCCGTTCCTGTCCCATTAAACCTCTAGGTGAGTCTCCTGAATAGATACCTCGTAAAACATCGATCTTCCGTTTGCTGCTGCCGCTGTATCTGCCTTCAGCAAATCGCCCCCGCATCTATGTCGGCGGTTGCAACGGATGTTCTGTTTTTTCACGACCGGCCACGACATATTCGACGTATCTGCGATGGAAACAGGATTATAGAGCAAAGGACAAAGTAAGGACTGATCAAGATTTAAAGTTTGGTTATGGGGGGCAATATACGGAGAACTGGTACGTGAAGCAGAAAAATCCACAACTTCTCTGAATTTACTATAACACAATGCCATGAAGATATATCAAACCCGCGAGTGGGCCTATAGGACAAACCTCAGCAGAAACGCAATCAGATGGCGAAAGGTGAGGAGACTGATGCTCGGCATGCCATTCACCACAGTTGCATCTGTGAACAGATATTGGATAGTCAGATCATTTTCTTTATTGGTCAACTTTTTACAATCATAATTGGTCATTGGAAACAGCCAACAATTTCTCTAAGTTGGTAAACACTTCGTAAGTAGTCACCAAATGGTGTTGGTTAACTTATGTTTAATTTCAATTACTCGATTTCAGTTGAAAATTATAAATAAATTGCATGGATGATTAACATCATGTAAGTGCTGGGCCACAACGTATATTAATAAGCACTGTATGCTCAGTGCTTATTAATAAACGTTGGGTAAGGGCAAAACCGTTAGGCTATACATAATAATTCAAATTACCAAAAGTGAATGAGCTTATCAAAGCGCTAAAGTAATGATACAAATAAAGTTGCATTTTCAATGTAACAGTGATCACCACACGAGAAAAACTTCCCGCAACTTGGTTG